TGGAAAGATGTGCCCAGCTTTATATGACATTTCCCTTACTGGGATACTGTGTATTTCAGATTGGTATGATGACTCAATATGTTTATATTTCAGTGGTTAAAATGGGGGTAAATCACAGTATTTTATTTCATGGATGGGAAAGGAGGTCTGGTCATCAGAATGAACTTTGAATGAATTATGTCAGCAATGTGTAATTTGTCTGAGGATATGGAATTTCCTGGGAGAAGTTACAGAATTACAGTGAACTTGAACTATCAGGAAAGCTAGTGCGTTTCATTGTGCAAATAATAGTTCATGTGATAATAACATGCTTCTCATGTTTGCTGCCTTGCTGTATGAAAAGGTTTTTTTTTTTGCTGCCTTGCTGTATGAAAAGTTTTTTTTTCCCCTAAATTGCACTGTTTCCTTTCAGAATAACTATGGCACTTTTGTTCTTAAATTTGTGTACACTGGAATTTGAGTATTACTTGTATTTGCAGACAAAAGCTGCTTAGTATCCAATTTCTTATGCTGCCTTAATATTCATTCTTCAGTTGGTCCTTTTCAGTTTGGCTCTCTGATTCCTCTAACGCTGAAAATGAAAGATTATGCAAAACCTTGTTTCCAGTGACTTTTCGCCTATTCCTGTTTTTAGCGTGTGACTTTGCCTGTACCTTTGGAGGATTTATCTTACACTTTCTACTTGTTACAGTGACTATTAAAGCATAGTGTTATATTTTTTGGATGATAAAGTAGTCAAATAGAAGTGCATTGCTGACTCCCAAATTTTCATGTGAACAGGACAGAACTGATAAAAAATGTAGAACATTTGCAGCTTCTGTTACTCATTCCCAGACATTGGAATATTGTGAGTTGGTCAAAAGAGGCTGTAAGAATGAGTGTGTTTAAATTTCTTTATATATGCTGTTGTGTGTTTAAACATTGACACCTCACATGTTCAGTTTTTGCTCTGTAGCCATGAGAACTGGGAACCATCTTCCCTTACAGGGAAAGGAAAGCTGTAATGGCTGGTATGGTCAGGTGAATCCAGTATCTAGAGCTTTAAGAACAGCATCATGAGGGTTGATAAAATCACAGGAGCTGACAACAGAGCACTGCTTCAACATTAGAACAGGAAACAGTATCAAGGATATGGGAAGAACTGCAGATAGTTTTCATAATCTAACATATTTTCCACACATGAACTATTGCTTGGCTGGGCAGCAGATTCCTCAATGGCATTATGAGGACTTCTACAAGGCCACCTGTTTACTGCCCCCTAATGACAGTCTTTCTGCGTTTCATGGTAGTACTTGTCGTCTTTCCACTTCTTTCCAGCATAAACACTACAATAGTACTTTGGTGTGTGGCTTGCTCAAGATATTTTGATGCTTCTGATCCAACAGTTGTCTTCTACATTTCTTTGTAGAGAGCCATCATGCATAGAAGATACTGACAGTAGGCTGTTAGCCCTAATGATATTTCTTTATTGGGAGAACATCTGTTAGGTTTGTGGTGACAACAGCAGGAGATATTTTTGTCAAGTGCTTATACCATGATTCAGGCTGTTTTATAGACTAGTAACTTAGATACTTTTTGTGTCTAAAAAGGAAAACTGCATGCTACCATAGGCTTTTCACCCATAAATCTCAATGTAATCTGTTATTTCTGTGCTTTAATATGACAGGCATGTTATTGAAATGACACCCATGAGATCAAATTCTCCCCACAACTTGCAGAAGATAAGTTGTGAATTTTGGTCCAATGAATTTTCAGTCTTTCTGTAGTCAGATGGCACTGTATTTTTTTTCCATCTTACTTTTTTCTGCCTCTGTGATTTCAGAAAATCAACTGTGAGCAGTCTGATCCAGCAGACCTAGATAAGCTTAGGATTTTTTTAAAAATCTGCGCTGAAATTAGCTCAGAGTTACTTCATGGTGTATTTCCTTTATTGCAGTCATTACTGAAAGAATGGCACTCAGGTGAGCAGTGGTTAATGGCATTTCATTAGGGACAGAATTTTTTAGAATTTAGAAGAAATTCAGAAGAAATTATCTGATGTTTTTAAGCATCCTGTATTCTGACTATATTCTTGTTTAATACAAAATCTGGTTGTATTAATACAATCTTAATCTTGTTTAATACAAAACCTGATTGTATTAAAAGCAAATGACTTGTTGCCTTAAAAACCGAACACTGACATTTCCTAACTACGGTGCACACAGTATTTAATTCAAAACAGTCTTCCTTGCATTGAGTTTTCTAACAGCAGTGGTAGGAAGGGAACTTGCACCGGTATTCTTCAAGTATTGAGAATATGTTTTGGTCCCGTGCTGTGCTAAATCTATTTTATGCCAAAATCTCCAGCATTTAGGGTTGGTTTCTTTCAGTCTGCCCTCAAGGATTCTGCTTCTAAGTCTTCTTGCCCTTCCCTTGGAAAAGGAGATAAATGTGTATCTACAAGGTACCTCAGTCTTACAGACTTAGAGAATGATTCAGAGAAACTGTTGACTACAGAGAGAGTTGGGCGAGACTCGTTTCTTACCTTGGCCACTAACCTGGAAGCTTGAAGTGAGCCAAGTGAATAAGCATGTAGCACCCCTGTTTCCTTCTACAGGCCCATTTTTCTCTGAAGAGTCCATTATTTATGCCTTTAGTCCATTATTTATGCCTCTATTCCATTATTTATTAGAATTGAGAGGACAGAGCATGTCTGAAGTTTATGCAGATACCGGTGGCAAACTAGAGCACTTAAAACTGGTGCATATATTCTCTGTGTATTGCAATATTTTGCGGCAAGAGGAAAAGAAACAGTATCAGGGAATATATAAAGAGTAGGTATAATGCATTTAGGTTTACCTATAGGACACTTTATTAAATTCTCATTGATGATATAGGAACAATTAGCACTATCTCTAGTTTTATTTCGTATTCACCACAGAAATTGATGGAAAAAACTCATGTAGATGTTCAAGTGGTGGAAAACTGGCAAAATTGGAAAACTGGAAAAATTAAGTTTATGCTTGCTGAGTAACTGATGATGATTTTAAGTAGGTTTAGTGTTTTTCATGAGGTCTTTTCCTGTAGAAGGAAAAATATAACATGCTGTTCAGTTGCTTATAAATATTTACTTTGCTATTGTATGAAACTAGCAATTCGTGGTGTTTAGAGAAGCATGTCCTTCACAATCCAACATTCTTTTCTTGAGCAGTCACTGAAAGCAAATTTGGATATAACAGTCCCTTTTAAAATCTGTGGTAGTAAGTTGTCAATGCAAAGACTGAGGTTTATTGTTGCTTTCAGGAGTTGGCAAGAAAGAAAATGTTTGAGGTTCTCCTTTAGTATGAACATTTGCCTGAAGTAGCTAGTATCCACAATGCCAATAGACTTCAGAAAAAATTCATCACAGAAACAGAGGAACGTAAGAAGCCCACTGTTTTCATTGGCACACATTTAATGTTTCTCCTGGGTTAAATCTGCGGCATCTGTACAACAGTGGTGGTAACTCTGCTCTCAGTTATACGCTTGTGCTTGGGATGATTAAGATCTCATGTACCTCCAAAATATTCAATATCACCTCCTCTTCACAAGAAGAGTCAAAAAAATTGATGATGAATACTATTTCTGTGTGTTTTCTCAATTCTTTGAAAATACAATTTTGTTGTTTATTGATAACATAGGTTTTTTACTCCTGAGACAAACTCTTTGTGGAGTCATTGGTCAGCATTTAGCTTGTATTACACTGGGTGGAGTTGGGCACTTTTGCCTGGGATTTGCAAGAAGTGCATCTTGATTGGGAGTTATTCCTTTAGGAGAACGAGCTGGATCTTACATTTGTTTGTCTTGAAGAAACTAAGAAGCAGCTTCCGAGTGCCCTAATCACTGGGCTGTGTAGTGATGGTCCTGCTCCCTATTATCTGGCCCAGCAGAACTGTGTTCTTTTTTACAGAATATCATGATTTCAGGGGATAGTGTGCTCTGATTCAGGAGTCGTCTACGTTCAGCTGGTTGTGATACTCTACTGAGTTGTAGATCTAATTTTTAACTGCTTCAGGCTAAAGAGGGAATTGAACTCAACAGCCCCATTTCCTGAGGGAGCACTGTAGCCACTGCACTGTTAGAAAGGGCAATTTTATGCCATTTTTCTCTTTTTTTTTTTTTTTTTTTTTGGCTGTGCTTTCAAAAGTAGTTAGTGGCAACTGTGTTTTGGGAGATCTGTATTCGTAACAGAGCTGTGTTACTCCTCTGTTACCTGTGCTCAGACCTCCCAAGGGGGCCTAATACGGGCTGTGCAAACCAAGGTTATGGAATTCAGGGAAGCCTGCCATGAGTAGCTGCTAAGCTGCTATATTCCAGCATGACCAGAAGCAAAACTTCAGGCAGACTTTGAAGACTTTAATATGAAAATGTAGGCAAGTGTGGACTGCAGGAAGTTACATAGTCAAGCAGGGATTGTCTAATTCCTAAAGGTCACCTAAGTCCTTATCTTTATCTGTGCCTGGTGAGGTGTTACTTGCGGGTAAGGGCAGTAATTTAGCTGAGATATCCTGAAATCTTGGATTGCAGCATTTGCAACTTCTGAATAAGCTGTTGATTAAGAAGAACACTTCTGACAACCAATTAATTCTCTCCAACATTCTTTATATTTCTCTTGTTGTGGGAAATGGTGATGATCGGATTACTGACCTTGTCAACTCACCCAGGCTGTACCTTTTCAATAGACAGAGCTACCACTTTTATTATTCTCACCGTGAGCTGGCTGTTGCAGATGTTCAGGTAACTCCACTGTCTTTAAGCTGACCGTCAATTTACAATCTGCTTGCTAGATAAGACCAGTAGTAGGACGGTGTTGAGACTGAATCACTGGAAAAGGAAGAAGCTTATCAAGTGTGAGATACTGCTAGCATACAAAAGGTGCATGCAACTGCACAAATGCAGTTTTCTTAATTTCTGCTGTCTGTACAGTGTCTGCAGTGTCTAGTAACCAGGGGTATCAGAAATAGATGATAATTCTAATATTATCAGCAAGGAAAGTTTCCTTACAAATAGTCTTTGTGCCATGCTGGCACAAGAGACATTGCAGAATGATGGAAAATTATGCTGTAAATCCCACTTATGCCTACAGTCTTCTCAGTCAAGGCAGTAAAACAGACAGTGAGGTTGGTGTCGGGGTATAAATCTAGTCTCTCTGCAGCAATTGCTTAAGAAATAATTCAACGTCCATTTGTGCTAGTCAGTCTGGTAACCTGTTCTTCACAGAAAGGCACTTACAGCAGGGCCAGCCAAAGGGATAACCCACGGGGACTGGCATTTACAAGACTAATAATATATATGTTGTAGACCTCAGACTCTTGAGGTTCTTTGGGGAGAGGCTGTCAGGGTAATGGATGCATTTACACTCTTGTGTCCTGTCACAACCAACTTCAATGTGATTGATTGTCCTGACAAAGAGGATAAACTATTAGTCATCCTTTGGGAAGACATTGCTGGAATTAATAATCCTATCATTCAATTTCACCTTATCATAGGGAAAATTGTAATTATTTTTAGTCAATTTTGAGTAAAGATATATTAACTTCATAACAACAGTTTCAGTCTTGCTATTAAATATTCATTTGGAATTTTGTTTTTGTTTCTGTTTAAAAAGTATGACGATTTTCCAGTATATGAGATCATAGTCTTAATGAAGTTATGTTTAAAAAATATATATTAAATACATGTTTAGGCTTTTGCAAAGGTTTGAATTTTTGTACTTTGTGCAGCTTAATTGAATTCAGAAAATAATTTTTCTCTATTCTTCTATATTCCATTTATAGAACAGAAAATATTAGTTGCAAACTCTACAGAATACTGTGATAAGTTATAATTTTGTAAAGTACTTAAAAAATGAGACAGCATTATTGTGCATAATAAGTGGAACAGTCCTTATCACTTCTATTGTCACTTAAAACAAAGATTATAATAGTTGCTTGATTCCTTAATAAAAGAAACTTAAGAACATGGAGCTCTTGAATAGTTAGTAATGGATTATTTTTAATTATAAAATAAGCTGTATTTAGCCTTATTGCTTAAATTTATTATGTATTTTACATTTTTTTCAAATAAAATGCCTATCCAACTTCTAGTTCATCAGAAATGTTTAGAAATTTCAATGAAGCTGTTAAGTCTGGATATTGGGTGAACTAAACTAAATTATATGGATTACACTAGGCTGTCCACCAAGAAGAAAGTTTACATTCAACTTTTTGTTAAGAATTTAAAAGCCATTTATAGCATATATTTAAATCATATAGCTGTTCTGTGTAATGGGAAGGACTGCTATTGAAAACACAAGAGTTACTAATTAACACCAGAATGATAAAACTGTGCTCTTTTGTTTTTCAGGTCTTAGGAACAGATGAAGATAATATGGGGGATGGTTGCTCTCAGAAACTGGCTTCTGCCAAGTTCCTTCGACTTTTGCTCCTAATACTGATTCCATGCATCTGTGCCCTTATCCTTTTGTTGGTGATCCTGCTTACCTTTGTAGGTGAGTGCTAATGGAGTAAATAATTGACACATTTTTAATTTAATTTTAAACTGAGACTGCATTCTCAAGTCCTAATGTAGTTGTGGACATTGAAGATATATCTTAGCACATCTCCCTAAGAAACTAATCTACCTAGTGACTTAATAATGTTTGTTGCAGAGAAATAAATATGCCATTTAGATTTATATATTTAAAACGTATTTAAAGCACCGAAGAGGAAACCTTTTCTGAATTTCTCAAAGTAGATTTTTGAGGAGCATACTACCTTGAGCATGTAGTATGTAGATGGTTTTCAGCAGTCATTTTACAAGTACAAAATGACATTTATGTTAGAACTTTAGATCACTGTCAGTGGAATGGAATATTTATCCCTTCATGGCACACATTGATGTGCAAATCTGATTTTTATTTTAAGGTGGAAGTTAATTTATAAATAGCCACAAATCTTTCTGAACAGCCTACAAAATATTACTGTTTAACTAAGGAAAAATATGGTCATTTCTTCTAAATATGAAATATTTATCAATGCAGAACCTCAAGTATGTTTTGTGGAAATTTGTCCCAGGTGTATTAGATTTCATAATGGCTTAGTCTGTTAATTAACTTTGTTTCTATTTCAGAATTAAAAGGTAATAATTTATTACAAAAAAATTTTTAAAAAGCCTTCCCTTTGTTACCTTTAGAGAAGCTGACATATTAAATTGCTTCAACTACAACATGACGAAGACAGTAAAGCTAGGTTAAAGCATTACTTTTTCAGGAGAAAAAAAAGTAAAAAAATCATCTACTTTCAGTGCTGAGGGTTTCTGGGATTTTTACTTCTTTTTTTTTTGTTAATGAGAGTATTTTCTAGTTGAGCTTCCTTAAGTACTTCAGAAGCACATCTGTAACAAGTGGGGTAATGTGTGAGGTATATAGCTGTAAATCTATTTTCCTATTTTAAAGCCCCAACTTCAATACACTTCATACAATCAAACAGTTAGCAAGCACAGGAAGAAACTAAACACGTCTCAATAGCACCTTCAGCACTGTCAAAATCAAGACAATTTAAATCTGTTTTCTCAATTCAGTCTGTAAAGGATTTGCAACAAGGCGTTGTAGGCCTGTTCTTTTCATTTAGCTCAAGTTAGGGAAGTAAAAAAAACCCAAAGCTAGTGAATGTTGTGATTGACAAGTAAGTCTTGGGATGTATCTTTAAATTAAGAACAGTCTGAAGTTTATTAAGATCAAGTAAGTCTGGCAATTAGGAAATATGATGCCATTCAATTTACTTTCCTTATGTTTAGCATTCCATTTGTATCCTTCATGTCCTCTGCCCTAGATTTTCATTCTTTGGTGAGAAAGCAGATAAAAAAGCAGGTGTATTTATGTCAGCTCTACTCAATCTCCTTCTCTGAGGCATGTATCGACATAACACTCATTAAAATGTATGAAATCCTCTGGGGAAATGGGACCTGTTCCGATCCTACTTATGTAGCAAAAATCGGGACTATCTCCTCTTAAGTCAATGTGATTACTGTAGGCTGAAGAATAAGGCTTGGTGTTATTACCCAAGTCTAAAACTGGCAAAGCTCCCTTCAGCATCTTTTGAATTAGCATGATTATAATTTAGTATTCTTCTCTCTCAGTTAGCAGCTTTCATTTTATGTGCATTGATAGCCTAGAAACAATGTATCTGATGACTGGAATTAAAAGAAATTTTGTGGGCATCTTTAAAGTGTGCATAATATAATACAGACTGTCTATTTATTGAGAATACACTATATCCAGAATAGTAGTTCATATTCATTTCAGTTCAATAATAACTGAATTCTGTTACAGTCCAATACTGGTATGATGACTTACAATGTAAGAAATGAGTTGATAGTCCTGACTGGCTAACACAAATTATTCGATATATAGGAAATTTTGTTCTTATTTTTTCATGAAATGGAGGAATTAAATTCTGTGGTTGTCATTCTAGTACCTTTCACTGGGGCTTGAAACATAAATAGAGAGCTCCAGTATATAATTTAGAACTGTATGAACTGTTTTGATTTGACTTTGGAAATGAACTCATCAGAAAACTAGGCATTTCATATTTTGCAAGAAAGTATTTTGTTTCCTGTGGTGAATTTGTAGGCAATTATTCTTTTCCTTCTGTAATATTTTTTAATTAAATGAGGCATATACACATGAAAAAGTGTGCGTGCACCTTAGAACTTTCCTATTCACTTTCCTTACATCTGTTTTGTTGTCTGCACATCATTGCAAGCTCTGATGTTGAAGAAACTGAAAAGTTGGTTTTGGTGGAAGGAGACAGGTAGAGCAGTACAGTTATATTGTAGTAATAGAGAATATCCTACTTGAGGTGTGTCATGGGGGCCTGTTTTCAGAATATGTCATTAATCAACCTTTCAAAAATTATTTACCATCAAAGTATTCAAGATGCAAAACCCTTGAAAAAGTTATTTTGTTAGAACTGTGTACAAAGAAAGGACAAAGCAAATTCTCAGTAGAGATACACATTATTTTGACTAAAGATACAAGAGACTTTTATGGTCCATAGAAGACTATATCAAGCTGAGTTGTTTAGCTTTGATTTCTCTTAAGTACTTACACTCTGGCTCTGCATACTCTTGAGACTCCTGAGAACACAGAATGAGCTGTGTCTCCTTCACAGAATAAACATCAGGAAAAGTATATTATAGTAAAACTGCTAGGCTTAGCTTTGTGGATGTTGGATCTTCCACATTCATAAGGTAACATGCATATGTCAAGACTCCTGTATCAATTTGGGAACCCAAATGTACTGGCCCATAAGGAACTTTTTGCCACACAGAGGAAGTTAAAGTTGCGGGGAGTTATAGTTATACTCTAGAGTAAAAGGATCTTGATCCCTGAATCATTTGGAAATGCTGGTAGTTCTCCAAGTGATGTCGAGCCTCGAGGCATATGTCACGTCCTCAAAATCTGAAGCGACTAGCAGCATGGAGATCCAAAAGTTATAATTGTGAAAGCAACATGAAATATAAACGACAATGGCAATATTTGCTGTAAGACAGGTGTCTAAATTGAGGAGTTTAACTCTAACATATAAATAAACCATTTGGTCCCGGGAGTTTTTCTGATGGAAGATGGTAATCATCAGCTAAATGATCTGCCAGTTCTTTAATTTGATCTTGCCAACACAGCTATATTATGGGGAATGTCCGAAGGAGTATATCCCAGAGCAGCCTGTATTTCACCCATCTATAAGAACTAATTTACTCTATCAACCTTCTTTACTGATACACCTGGAATATTGGGAAAAAAAAAAGATGCTGTGAATACAGCTCCAGGTCAGAATGTCTGCTGTGAGACATCACTGAAGTCAGTGGGGAATTGTTCTTGTGATCTAGAGAATAATAATGAAAATCTGGCAGTCCACCCAGCACAGATGGACAGAAGGTCACAGTGACTGAAGCATGGATTCTGGTGTGGCATAACTGATTCCTCAGGTGCCCATGGAGCTTTATTCATTAGCCAGTGCAAAGTGAGTGTTTAACACAGGCACAGAGTTCAGGATTGGTTTCTGAATTGCAATATAGCCATTATGTATATGTTACATTTCATTTCTTAGGTTAAGAAAAGTTTTATAAATAAAAATTTCTAGTTGCATGACATATCATGCTCAAGAGACAGGAAAAAAGAAAGACACCAGATAAGATTTTTTGTTAGACCACAGTGTTATAACTGTAACTGGGAACTTTCAGGCAACAACAGCTGTTAATATGAAAGCTAGATACTGTCTTTCCGTCCAGCCCTTTAGTACGATCCTGATATTTTTGCTGAGACTTCATTGCCTGAAAGCCAGAAGTTGATGAAAGGGAAAATCTCTCCTTTCTGCACAGGATCTTAGGAGCCCAGCTTCATTCTGCAGCTTCTTTAAAAGATGCCTTCCACAAAGTCTACTTTGAGTTCCATTTTATCTGGGAACTGATCCATTATTTGCATGTCACCTGTTAAGTTGCAAAACAAAACAAAACAAAAAAATTACAGCTGACCTCCTTTTTGACCCTTTGGGCAGCTGGTAAGCAGTTTAAGTTAATGTCTTTACTTGACAGGAGGAGCAGGATAAAGTCTATTACTGCAGCTCAACTGATGTGCAATTGTTTGGTATGCTATGGGACCTCCATATTATCAATGATGTGCCCATTTCTTCAGAGTGCAGAGTCATAGGGACAGACCCTGCAGAAGAAATCTCAATGGGTACGTGCTGGCTACTTACAGTAGTGAACCAGCGTTTTATTCCATGTGTAACTGCCTCATCCATTACACATACTTTGGTAGGCTGCTTTGCTCTGTTTCATTAGCTTTTTAAACAAACTTGGTCTTTTTGAGATTTCCTGCTGTGAACTGCTAGAAATCACCCACAGTATACACTGCCAAAATCTCCATTTAATAGCTTGAACAGTGTGACTATTTCTTAGATCTCATAACTGTCCATTTCAGATCTTTAAATAAAACATTAATTCCCCAATAGTGAACAGCAACTGGAAAATGATCAGTAAAACTGTTGGCAAAGCATCACTTTGAACTGAATGAGCCTGGTGCCAGTTCCTTGGTTTTGTACCAAACACAACGAAGGCCAGCATGCTGTATATTTCTGTCATCTGGACATGTCCAGCTGTAGCTGGAGACACAAATCCCAAATGGTTAGAGCTATTTCTCAACTAATTAACTATCTGGCTTACGATTTACTGTCTCCAGCTCTGTGTGAACTCACATCTGAAGAATAGTTGGATATAGTGTGCATGTATACGTGAATAAAATGCATGTTCTGCGTGTGTTGTATGGCTGTTAGCAGACATTGATAGAGAGTAATTCAGTTCTCATTACTGAAGAGATTAAAAAAGAATTGATTGTTTTAAAGCATCACAGTTTTTTCTTAGGTATCTTAACATTTAAATAGTTCCTTCAGGGCTTTTGATGCTATAAAAAATCTCCAGTAAGCTTAATTTAAGATTGAAGATATATGG